AGAAGCGAGCGCTTCTAGCCCTTTTTTATCTTATGCACGAATAAATTGCGAAAGCTAACATGAAGATTCGATTCAGACTTCATAGAGTCAGTACTAATGTTGTCTATGCGCAGGGCCATCCCCCACTCTCGTCCCGGGGAGCTAACGGCTCATGTATATGAAGTTGGTTTTACATTTATAGGATTTTTCATTTGTTCCTTAATTCTTTCCCTCTCTCCCGTCATGCATCATCCATCAATTTCTTCGTATACCTTCTCATATTTCAAGCATAAAAAGTAAAAATTAAAAGCAAAAAGCAAAAAAACAAAAAAATGTTATCATTTAATTTTTTAAGAACTAGAGGAAGGAAAGGAAGAAGAAAGTCATGCTCCCTTTCGGTATACTTTATTAGCTTTGTTTACATGATATTAACACTCTTATCTCCTTTTTCATGCTCTAGCCTCTAGCCTTAATAAAAAAACCTTTCATTGTGTTTTAGGTCTTAAAAAAAAATCTTCGTATTTGCATTTTACCAATTGATTTTATAATAAATAGCCTAACTTATATTTACCGAAAGACCTAGACTTAGAAGACTTCCAGGAACCACACACACACAAGAAAAACAGAAATAAAAAGTCCGAAAATTCACACTTTGGGTTGCTTTCTCCAGTTCACACTTTGGATTGCTTTTTCCAATTCACACTTTGGTGTAACAATCTCGTACTATGATTATGACAATAAAAAATGTACCGTTAAAATAATTTACTCTTTTTTTTAGAGAACTAGCATAGTAACTACAAACCATTCTAAAAATCACAAGAAATTAACAGATTACCAAATTTAACCAATTAATTGTTAATTTTACTGAGCTAGCAGGCTAGCTATCTTTAGGGGGCCAAGTTAATCATGTGTGGATCCACAGGGATGTAGATCAATAGAGGATTGAAGTTCTTATGAGCAAGTAAGGGCAAATATCTTTAGGGAACTTTAGGTTAAAATTCAATCCGTACTTTTTTTAACGATCCACATTTTTTTCGGCAATGCTATTATTTAAGGTTATCATAAAACAAGTTAATTTGATTAGTTTTAATAAATAAGCTAACCAGGCAAATTTAAGCCTAACTGAATTATGGTATTAGAAGCGCAAATTTGTTTGTCATCCGGTTTTTTGCAATAGAAGCTGTTCACTTTTGGTTTGGTTCCTCTGTGGTCCACATTTTGTTACTAATAAAGTAAAGTATTCAATCCTTGTACTATTTACTTTTATATTTTGATTTCTTATCAATTTCAAAGTTTTCAAGCCCTTTTCATTAGTTTTCCTAATTAAATAAGCAACCCAACCAGCTATACTTTTGGAAGCCTCCAACTGAAATTATGGTATATAGAAGCTGCACTTTTGTTTGTCATCTTTGGTTTTTTGCATAGAAGCTGCACTTTTGGTTTGGTTCCTCTGTGGTCCATTTTGTTTGTTAGTATATATTAACCTCCTTGCAAGCTATCTTTTGATTTCTTTTTGTATGAGAAATAATAATCACGCACCATTTTTAGTCTCTTAGACAATTCTTTCTAATTATGTATGTTGTTTTCGTTTTGAATCGAATTAGTCTATTTAATAGTCATAAGTCTAGATGGGTGTGTGAGAAGTTTAAAAAAAATGTGTGAAAACAGCCTTTTTTGTATTTGTTTGTGAGGAAGAATTTGAATATTGTTTTTGGCCCGCCTAAGTGTCAGTAGATTTGAATTTATGAGAACTTAACACTCTTTTGTATTTGTTATTAGAATTTCTTCGTAGTCTCCAAATTAGACTTGTGCAAACCTAAACCAGTATATACTAAATCATTACATCTATTATTTGTGATAGCTTGAATTTTCTGTCTTTTGTAATCTTCGAACGCTTTCACACTACAATTAGGTAATAATATATAAAGGATTTACGTACCATGATATACTGTTGTGTACCAACAATGGATGCCTGGCCCGAAGGTACGTACTCTTTTTCTACGTACTCTCCAACCTTAATTTCTATATATTTTTCATTTCTCCTGTGTTTTTTAATCACACATTTTGCTTTGTCGTTTTAGTATTTAGATCTGGACGCTCTAAATTACCAATGACATTTTTTACTAAAATGCTAAAAGAATAGTAAAATCTCAACTATTTCATAACGTACGTCAGAGCAAATTTTCCCACAAATTCATTAGTTGCATGTGTGACAAGGGCCTCAAGTCACTGTGCCAAACCCTAGTTTTAACTTCTTCCGTGGATGATTCGAAACTTCCCTCCTCCTTGCCCATGTGCATCTGGTCCCGTGCACTTCGTTAATAGAGAGTGTTGTACTGTTGAGAATGGATCATGTTGATGGAAGATGAAACTTTGCATGAACTTATAAATGAGTTGGGCTAATCTCTATTGCAAACTGATTAGCCTAGACTCACATGATATATTACTGAAAGACCTAGACTCAGAAGCCTCTGAAAGACCTAGACTTAGAAGCCTTCCAGGAACCACACACAAGAAAAACAGAAAGAAAAATTCCGAAAATTCTCACTTTGGATTGCTTTTTCCAATTTGCACTTTGGAATGCTTTTTGCCAATTGACACTTTGGATTGCTTTTTTCCAATTCACACTTTGGATTGCTTTTTCCTACATAATATAAACGACTATGAAGTTACCCAAGATGATGAACAAAGGTAAAAATATGGCCACTGGTGCCGGCTGCCTAATTCTGAAGCCAACAAGTAGTCATCATCATCACAAGCAACCTTCTGAGGATGCTAAATTGAGCATCAACTACCATTACAGCAAAAGCCCGACGTCCTCCTCGACAAGCGCCAAATGTTGCACCAGAACTGCCGAGCTGCCCAAGAGTACTAAAAAGCAGAGTGGTAGCAAGACAAAGAAAGGCAAAAGCTGCAACGCCTTCAGGATTGTTGGGAATACTATTACGGGTAACAAATCCGACAAGGTAGGTATCTTTGGGTTTGGCAACACTAAGTACGTCTGCAAAGGTCCGAAGACGGAGAAACGAGACAAGTCCTGTGGGGAAACCGACTACAAGTCTTCCAGTGACGACGAAGAGTGAACTGATTGAGGCTGTACGTGGTTGTAGGGTATGGCCTGATGTTTTTATGCATGTTGCGTATCTTGTGTAATTTGATGTGAAAAATAAAATGTTATCATGGCCAGGAGACTTTAATTTAGAGTTTTAATTCAATGCGCGATAGTTCTAAGATATTGGAAGTGATGTACTGGACGTGATAGAAGTGAGTGATGTACTTGACGTGATGGAAGTGAGTGATGTATTGAACTTTTTAGTTTCAACTATTTGTATAATTCATCATAAGAAACCAAGTACAAGGGAGAAGCTCTTATAGAGAGCTTGAGAGTGACTTAAAGGCTAAAAAGACAAAGCCTAATAATAGGCCATATAAAGAACCAAAAAGAATAAGCTAGCTAATGTGTAGCAAATGTATAATTACAAGTTTCAAGTGAGACATAAGACCATGAATTAAGGAGCGAATTAAGGAACAAAGGAAAAGTGAGGAACAAAGGAAAAGTGGTAGTACATCACTTCCATCACGTCAAGTACATCACTCACTTCCATCACGTCAAGTACATCACTCACTTCCATCATGTCCAGTACATCACTTCCAATACTCCCCTTCAAGATGGATCAAGAGGGTTAATTGATCCAAGCTTGCACAACAACCGTTGAAATTGGGTAGAGTCTAGAGCTTTCGTGAAGAGATCAGCAAGTTGATCATGGCTTCTAGTGTATACAGTGTTGATGACATTGGATTGAACTTGTGTACGAATGTAATGACAATTAACTTCAATGTGCTTCGTCCTTTCATGAAATACCGGATTAGAAGCAATATGCATTGCGGCCTGGTTGTCATAAAACAACGACATTGGTTCCTTGCTGGTGAAGCCAAGATCAAATAGAAGACTCTTCAACCATATAAGTTCACAAGCTGCTGCTGCCATGGCCCTATATTCAGCTTCAGCACTGGATCTTGCAACCACGGTTTGTTTCTTACTCTTCCAAGTGATCAGATTACCTCCAACAAAAGTACAAAAACCTGTGGTGGACTTTCGATCAAGGGCATTACCAACCCAATTAGCATCAATGTAGGCCATGATGTGAGTGGACCCATTTTTCTTCATGAGTATGCCTCTACCGACCGAACCTTTGAGATATCTAAGTATTCTCTTGACAATCTCCTAATGAACCGATGTAGGAGAGTGCATAAACTGGCTGACAAGGCTCACTGAGTAAGCAATGTCAGGTTGAGTAATCGTGAGGTAAATAATTTTTCCAACCATTCGCTAATAAAAACCAGGATTGGAGAGAGGCTCACCTTTAGCATCCAACTGAAGTTTGCTAACAAGGGGAGTGTGAGCAGATTTACACTCAAGCATGTGTGCTTCATCAAGAAGATCAACTACATACTTTCTTTGATTTAAGAATAACCCCTTGGAAGAAGTGGCCATCTCAATGCCAAGAAAGTATTTCAAGACTCCCAAGTCTTTAATGGCAAATTGTTGGTGTAGGGAGCACTTAAAAGCATTGATTTCATTCACATTGTCCCCTGTAATTATAAGATCATCAACATATATAAGCACAACGAGCTTGCCTAGGACACCACTGCGAACAAATAAGAAGGAGTCAACATGACTTCTTTTGAACCCTGCAACTTCAAGAACTGAGCTCAGTTTGGAATACCAAGCTCGATGGGATTGTTTGAGTCCATATATAGCCTTATGGAGCTTGCAAACTTTGTTAGGTTCACCTTCTCGTAGGTGTCCAGGAGGTAGCTTCATGTACACATCTTCTTCAAGATCACCATGGAGGAAAGCATTTTTTACATCCATTTGAAACAAGGGCCACTCGTGATTAACTGCCATTGATAGCAACACCTTCATTGTGTTCATTTTGGCAACCGAGGCAAAAGTCTCTTTGTAATCAATACCGTAGGTTTGTATGAAACCATGGGCTACCAATTGAGCCTTGTGTCTCTCAATGGTACCATTGGAATTGAATTTTGTCTTGTATATCCATACTTCCTACAACCTTCTTGCCTTTAGGAAGATCAACCACACTCCAAGTTTGATTTTCATCCAATGCTTTGAGCTCTTCATGCATGGCTTTTTGCCACACAGGTGTACACACGGCTTCTTGAAAACTTCTTGGCTCAAGATTGTTTGACAATTGGTTTAGAAATAATGCATGGGAGGCTGACAATTTTTGGTAAGTAATAGCTTCAGAGATAGGGTACCTTGCAGAGTACGTAACGTACTCTTGTAACCTTAACGGAGGATGTCGATCTCGAGCAGGGTTCCTTCTTGGTGCTACTACTGATTGTGGAGTTGCAGCTTGTGGTTGTGGTGTTGGAGCACTGGGTACTTCCTCACTGACCACTTCATCAATGTTGGAATTAATGATAGGGTTTGAGGGGTTTGCTTGAATTTTTCCAGGAGTAGGCAGTGGAAAGGTGTCCATTAAACTCTTCCCCTGAGGATTATTCTTAGAATCCTTATGAAAGAAATGAGTGACTTCATCAAACCGAATATCTCTAGAGACAACAAGCTCCCAAGTGTATGAGTTATAACATTTGTATCCCTTTTGAGAACTAGAGTACCCCATAAATGCACATTTCACAGCTCTAGGTTCTAGTTTATCACGATGAGTAGCTTGGATGTGGACATAACAAGTACATCCAAAGATCCTGAGATGAGTCAAATCGATAGTTCTTCCTTTCATGACTTCAAAAGGTGACTTAGCATTCAACACATGAGTTAGAAGTCTGTTAATGATGTAGGTTGCAGTGAGAAGTGCTTGGGACTAGAATCTCTTGGGAACTTGCATCTAAAACATAAGGGGCCTTGTTTTCTCCAACAAATCCCTATTTTTTCACTCGGCTACACCGTTTTGTTGTGGTGTACCGACACAACTAGTTTGATGCAAGATGCCATGATTGCTCAAGTAATTGGACATGTTATTGGATGTATACTCGGTGCCATTATCTGACCTTAAAGTATATAATTTAGAGGCGAATTGAATGGTTATTAGTTTGTGAAAGTCTTTGAAAGCTTAAAAAAAAAATCACCTTTAAACTTTAAAAGATACAACCAGGTAGCCATAGAATAATCATCAATAAAAGTGACATAATACTTGTATCCATCAAATGACTCAACACGAGAAGGTCCCCAGATATCTGAGTGAACAACTTCAAAAAGCTTACTGGTTCTAGACTGAGAGGATACAAAAGGCAGCCTAGTGGATTTTGACATTTGACAGATCTCGCACTCATGTGTGCTTTTACAAAAATTTGGAAATAACTTAGACGTCACTGGTTCTGAGGGATGAGCGAGACGTTGGTGCCAAAGTTGGTACTCCTGGGCATGACTTAGGTTGGCAATGGGATCCTTAACAAGATTGAACTTCTTTGAGAGGTAGTATAGACCATTTAAGAAGAACCCTTCACCAATCTTCTTCTGAGTGACTTGATCCTAAAACACAACATTATGAGGAGAAAATATGGCAAGGCAGTCCAAAGTGTGTGTGATTTTTCCTATGGACAAAAGCTGGAATGGAAATGAAGGTACGTAAAGTGCAGTGGACTCTACATCATTACCCATCAACCTAATTTTTTCTTTTCCTAGAACATGTTCCCCTTTACCATTTGCTACAAATACATGAGTAGGATTAGATAATTTTTGAAACTCATGTAGACAAGATGTTTTATTAGTTATATGATCAGTGGCACCTGAGTCTACAATCTAAAAATCATGTGTGAGATATGCATTGAGAGCAGTGGAGAGTTCACTGATAATACCTGGGATATTGTCGTGTGTTGTGGTATCTAAACCTTCCAAGAAGTCAGCGAATTTTCCAAGCATGGCAGTGGAGTTTTCAATGATCATCTTTTCATTCTTAGTGGTCCCGTTCTTTCTTTGAAGAAAGGTAGCAAATTCATTAATCAAGGAAATCAGATTTGAAGTGAAGTTTGCCATCTCATCAGCTGAACACTTAGTTGCACGGAGGGCTTTTAAAGCAAACCATTTCCCATCTTTGATCATTTTCCCTTCCTTGTCAAACTTAGGTTTTAACTTAGAATGTAAGATCCAACATTTTTCCCTTAGGTGCCCATTAGTGTTGCAATATGTGCACTTCCAGTCAGCCTTCTTCCCATTAAAAACTTTTTCACCAGAGATTTTGTGGTTGCTAGGTTGCTAGTGAAAACCTTAGCCTCAGAGCTAGACTTGTGCTCAATATGCATTACCTTTCTTTGAGTTTCTTCCCTTTGAACTGCATGACACACACTAATGAATGATGGTAATTTTGAGTCATTAGCAAATGACTACGAAGATCTTCATACTCAGCTCCCAAGCTTGCCAACAGTTGAAACACTTTATCTTCATCAGCCCTCTTCAAAAGCACAGCGGATTCGGTTGTGTGTGGATGGTATAGATCAAGCTCATTCCATATAAATTTCATGCTTCCAAGGTGCTGAACGAAGGATTGGTCACCTTGCTTTAGGCCAGCAATACTCTTCTTCAGTTCAAATACACGGGCAAAATTGTTTTGGCTGCCATACATTTCCTTGACAGCTTTCCAGAGTAGGTGTGAAGATCATGAATAGCTGAAGAGCTCTGACAACTTGGGCTCCATCGAGTTGAGTATCCAAGACATTACGAGCTGATCATTTGAATGCCATGCATCAAAAGAGAGTGAGGTGGATTTTGGAGGCTTGATGGTTCCATTTACGTACCCTAGCTTCGATCTTCCTCCTAGGGCAAGAGAGATGGCTCGGGACCAAGGCAAATAATTGAACTCGTTCAACAATACTGAGCACAGTCGTTGGTTTGGATTGATCTCACCATGTATCATGTTGGTTGGTGTTGAGGTTGAGGAACTTGTATCCTTAGAACCGAATGGATTGTCTTCTGCCATCTCAACAAATGATGAACATAAGGAAAAATGAAACAAAAGAAAAACAACAGAGACATGACCCTATGGTTCTTGCTCTAATACCATATTGAACTTTTTAGTTTCAACTATTTGTATAATTCATCATAAGAAACCAAGTACAAGGGAGAAGCTCTTATAGAGAGCTTGAGAGTGACTTAAAGGCTAAAAAGACAAAGCCTAATAATAGGCCATATAAAGAACCAAAAAAAATAAGCTAGCTAACGTGCAGCAAATGTATAATTACAAGTTTCAAGGGAGATATAAGACCATGAATTAAGGAGCAAATTAAGAAACGAAGGAAAAGTGGCGGTACATCACTTCCATCACGTCAAGTACATTACTCACTTTCATCACATCAAGTACATCACTCACTTCTATCACATCCAATACATCACTTCCAATATAAGAGTTATCAAATTAGAGAGTGGAGATGTGTAGTATACAAAGTAGTTATTACTATCATATTATCTGTGAGGTTCCAAAAATTGTATTATTTCCAGATACTAGTTACCGTCGCATAGTGCGAATCTCTATTATGATCTTCGCTTTTGCACTAAAAAATGTTATGAAAAAAACATTTATATATTGTACCACCACTTTAACAAAGATGAGATCTACTTATATTGGTAGGTTATACATCTATTAGAAAAGATGGTACAATGTCGTACAGATAAATGTTTTATCCTTGACATTGCTCATTTTGAAATACTCGCTACAGTCTGGAAGTTTACAGCTATATGTGATCGATCAAAGGATTGACTAAATTAGATTCAAAATTGTAAAGATTTCATGCCACGAAAAAATTAATTGTAGTAGTTTTAAGTCCGTATGAGGAATATTTAAGTGTAATACCCTTAAAGTTTCTTGGGCAAATTGTTTATGGCATATTGCATGGGATAAAAAATGGCATAACATTTGGTTAGAGACAGATTCTATGCATGTCATCAGTCTACTATCAGCTCACTCCATGGATGTTCCATGGTTTCTTAAAGTTTCTTGGGCAAATTGTTTATGGCATATTGCTCGCTTGAATTTGCGTTTTTCGCATATTTTCAGGGAAGGGAATTGTTTGGCGGATGCTTTTGCTAATTTTGGTGCAATGAATAGTAGCTTTACGTGGTGGGACTCGGTTCCTGAATTTGCTGATGCGTCTTATAGAAGAGATTGTGTCGAGCTTCCATTCTTCCGTTCGAGCTCATGAGGAGCAAAATGTTGCTATGGAAGAGGATTTCGGGAAAGAAATATAATCATCTGAATTATGGGAATTCAATTTTAGGTGACTGAAGCTAAGCACCCTTAAACTAGTCCATATCATTTTCAATAATTGTTTTTAGCGGGTTTTGGCCTAGTCCCCCCGTTTGTTCTACTTTTCCTTTTTTCTTCTTATTATTAATAAATTCTTGTAGAGGGGGGATGGGCGGGGGGTTTCTGGGTGCAACGGTCCTTTCTCCTTTGGGAGAGGGTTGGTGCCTCGCACGCGACTGTTGACGAAGAGCTAATCTCGCCTAATCCGTCTCTACAAAAAATTCAAAAAAAAAATATATATATATATATATATATATATATATATATATATATATATATATAACATTCTATCCTTGATGTACAATATAAGGAACTAATCTTTTTGCGTGAAAAAAAAAAAAAAAAAAAAGTGTAATACCCTTAATATTTTAAACAAACAATATTATATACACAAGGGGAGGGGGGTAGGGTTAGCCTCACAATGGGCTAGCAATAATGTGGTTCAAATTTGTTTTTGGCAATAATCAAACCTAAGACCTCTCACTCACAAATGAAGAAGAATACCACTAGACCATAGTACTTAATTTTATGAAAATGGTCATTTACGCATGTATATAACTGTGTCGGAGTTTTTTATAGGGCACTACAAGACATCAATTTATCCACCACAATAATTTTACCACGGACTTTATAAGCTAGTTATAAAAAGTACAAATTTACCACAAGTATAATAAGCATGTGGTGAATAACATTTTTTATCACGAACAAATCTTAGTCCGTTATAAATTAAAAGTGAATGACCATGTGCAAAGTTCCACGTTGTTAATATAATAGGCCACCACAGGCAAAGCTCGTGGTCATTATTATTAGTATCCACATCGTAATTAAAATAAAATTGGAGGGACACCAAAATGTTTCAAAATTTCAAACATATATCCAATTTGGAATTTTCACAGCACTACTCAAAATCTGTAAATATTAGTTGAAAAAAAATCTGTAAATATTATTAATGAAACACTACTTATCAACTAAAATCCCATAAAATTACGGTTATAACTCTCTACAAATAACAAATAAAAATATAAATGATTAAACCCCAGATAAACATGTCAAACACTAAAAAGTGAAAAACACAAATTAAGGGGGGTGTATTCAATTAGGATTTTGAGAGAGTCTCAGAGAGTTTAAATCTATGGAATTTGAGAGAGTTTGAGAGAAAAAAAAAAAAAAGAATTCCCAGAGATTTTGAGTGAATTAATTATAACTTCCAGAGAACTCACATGAATTATGAGAGAATTCTTTACATGAGGTTAGAGAATTGCAGAGAATTTGATCAACAATTTCCTTCCCTTTACAAGCCAAAATCAGTTTCATCTTACTAATACCAAATCGCAATACCAAGTTCAAATGCAATGTTTTCAAGTAGCTATCAAAGTGAAATTAAACATTGGCATCCAAAATCTTGAAAGTTAAGGCTTACAAAATAAACTAGCTATCAAAGTTTTTCAAACACAAATTGCATACTCCAATCCGTAAAAACAATTAATTATATTTCTCATCTTTGAATGCTATCACTCATAGCATATGTCCACATATTTGTAGCTATGCCAGCTCTCCATGCATTAGTAATCTGTCGTTGTTGCTCTTGAGTTTGATTACCTAGTTCATCATCATTTTCTTCATCTTCAGATTCATCATCTTCTTGTTCGATTGGAAATTCATCAGAACGGCACTCTTTGCGAAGAAAGTTGTGCAACCCTGCACAAGCTAACACTAACTTTGCTTGTGTTTTAATTGGAAATGGAGGTGCGGACTTGAAAATTGTAAATTGAGATTTAAATACACCAAATATCCTCTCCACTACGTTTCTCAAGGAAGCATGTCGAAGATTGAACAACTCATTCGCATTTACGGGATCACGATCGTTACCAGCAAAATCTTGGAGATGATATCGAACACCTCGAAACGGAGCTAAAAATTGACGACGATTTGCAAATCCACAATCCACTAGAAAAAAATTTACCTAAAAATAAAACACATAAAGTTATTATTTATGGTACGTCCGAGTGTAAATAAATCAATGAATGAATACAAACCTTCTGGCACTTTAAGTCCATTCCTCCTTGATACAGCATCATGTAACAGTTTGGAGTCATGAGCTAAACCCTCCCATCCGCTAAGAATATATATGAATTCCAAATCAAAGTTACAAGTAGCTAATACATTTTGTGATTATTTTACCATGACGATCAAGATAGCTAGCTACTTCAGGTCCTGATACCATTGCTGGTATATGTGTTCCATCAATAGCTCCAACACAATCCTAAAATAATTATAAGAGTTAATACATAGCTAACAATATGTTCATGAAAGTAAAAAAGACTCTTGAGAAGGGAAAATACGAGGAGGTACCGTGGCATATTATTAACCCTAAAGCTTCTGGAGAAGGGAAAGTAAAAAAGATTGGGACAACAGATTGTTATTAATAGGTTTCACGGTGAAGTTACATTTTTCCCTTCATTTGAAAACCCTATTAAGAAGATGGCTAGTTATGCAAGGAACCCTATTAATAATATGTCAACTTCACCGTGAAGAAATCGTGGGCATCAAAGTTTGGGCCGGCAATGGCGAAGAACCATTGGTTAGGTTGCAGGGTTCTGGTATCTGGAGAAGATGACTATAAAAAGGATTGGGACAACAGATTGATTATATAAAAGAAACAAATTCGCAGCTTTCACAACAAGGACAAAATCGAAGCAGAAGAATAATGGGAAGAAGTTGCAGAGGAAGAAAGATTGTACCTTCGCTCGGAGAGACTGGAGAAGACGCTCTCTGGAGGAGAGAGCAACACACTCAAAATCTCTCAAAGTTTCCAGGGTTGAGGTGAGATTTGCCAAGCTCTTTGGTATTTATACATATCACCTTGAAATCCTCCAAAATCCACCAAATCACAAATCCGCTCAAATCCAATTCCTTTTTCAATACACCTAAATTTTTAGAGACTTTCAAAAAGTTATGATTGAATACACCTAAATTTATAGGGAATTGTAAGAAGTCTTTAAGAATCTCAATCGAATACACCAAGATTTTTATAAAATCTTTTAAATTCCTAATTGAATACCCCTGGAATTATTAATTCCCTGAAACTCTCTGAGAATTCTAATTGAATACACCCCCCTAAAAAAGAAAGAAAGAAAGAAAAGATAAACACAAACCCACGTTTATCCTCTTAATCTTTCTTTGCAGTAGACGTGGGATTCAAATTCAAACCTAAAATCTACACGTTTCTACGGTGTTTTCCCTCGCCCAGTAACTTCCCACTCAATAAACTCGAGTCAGTTGTGATTATTTGCATATGAAAAAAGAAAACTAAAATCTCCAAGCTCCAACCATTCCAAAAGTTAAAAAAGTCGACAATATGAAGTGAAGAACCGAGGTGATTTTTTCTCTAATTTCTTTTCATTTTATTGATGAATTTTCTGTATGAATTTTTTTTGCGCTTTGTTGTTTGTTTTTTTGTATCACTAACTTCTAGCTTTTCCTGTGCACCGGTTACGGTGATCCTCTAACTGGTTGATGAGTAGATTTTATATTATATATTTTACCCTAATCTTAGTATATTTTGGTTAATATTTTGAAAGAATTTTGATACTTTGAATTGTATTTTCAATATAGGACTTTCGACTTCCTCTGGAGAAAAAAAAGGATCAAATGGACGAATTTTAGAGTAATTCCAGTTGGAGGACGTTCGTGAGTTACTTAGCTTGATCGTATCAAAATTTGGGATTTTTCTACCAAGCGGTTATTTTCTGGCGATAAAATAAATGAGCGATGCGAAGTGCTGGAAAATGACGTTTTTGGGCTTAAATTGCGTTTTTGGAGCCCAAGATGACCTCGGATTGGTTCGTGGCCTTCTGGAAAAGTGTTCAGAATATTCCAAACATTAAATCCAGCTTTATTGGGCCAGTTTTGGAGCAGCTTATGGGTCCAAAACGTGGTTGTTCAGATTTTGGGCGAATTTTACCATTTAATTTAAGGTTATGTTTCCTATTTTATTGGATGATTAATTTTAGTTTCCTAGGGTTTGTGTGGTGGCTTAGCAAATATATTGCTAGACCGTCTACAATTTTTGTCTACGCTTTCTTTTATACAATTCTTGGAGACAGAGAGAATTGTTAGGGTTTTGGAGACTTTTTACTTGAAGGTGCTTCAATCATTTTCTTGAATATATTTTCTATGATTTCAATTATGAATATGCGTAACTAATTTCTTTTGCTAGGGCGAAGCCTTAAGCCTTAGCATGAATATGTGATTTTTATTTAATTGCTTATGATTGATTGCATGCATACTTTGAATTGTTAATCACCGAGATAAAAACTATCTAATTGTCTTAATGCCTGATCACCATTAGGATCTTTAGAAAAGTAATTTGATGCAATTTTGGTCGGAAGGTTCCCTGAAATTGACGCTGGCTTCTTGTGATTAATAATTGTAATTTCACTTAGGATGAATACCACGTCTTAAGGATTACATGGTTTTTCAAAGGATTTTCATAAAGCATAATGAGTCTTTCATGTTCAGATTTGATCCGAACGTCCGGACGGGTTGCATGTTTGATATACATTCTATGTTGGAGGTTCCAAGTAGAATATGAATTAGGAAAATCTAACATTTAAAGTGGCATGTGTAGATCATAAGTAATTGGTAAAAGTTCATAGGATTGCTAGGTGATGGTGGAACCCTAGTGCTTTCGTAATTTGATTCTCCCAAAACTGTTTTCTTTTTCCCCCAGTTTTGGTATTGCAGATTGTTTATTTTAATTTATTAATTTCGTTTTTATTTTAATTAGGTTATAAAATCAATCACATAAACTTCTACTTTACAATAATTAAATGGAATCTGATTAGTTTCGAATTATTTAATAATCCATGTGGAGACGACCTTGCGAGATCCGTTTACTACAATAACCTTGTGATTCTTGCAAGTAAAATAGGAGAATTAAGCCCGTTCACATGAGTAGTAAAAATCCTATCACTGGTGTTCAGGTAATTTCTGTTCTTAAATTTATTCTGAAAAAAAATAAAATTGTAGACGTCATGAAAAAGAAAGAAGGCTTACATGTTTATATGAATTTGCACTATCATAATTTTGTGTATATTTGAGTGTATCCACTTGGTTTGTACCACATGATTATCTTTTCTTTCCGTATTTACTTCTCTTACTTGAGATCAAATTAGTATATTCCCATCCAAGAAGTACAAGATTTTATTTTATTTTTCTTTGTGCTTATGTCAATGCAGATAGAAGTAGACATATAGAAGATGCATTTAGTGAGGTTCGAGCATTAAGGCAGGATGTCACTCGTGAAGGACTTTTTTTTGGAGGTGTTCAAGGAAAAGTAAACTTCTAAGCTAACTATTTCTCAGTAAATGGAGGTGTACTTCATACTTGATACATAGTTTCGTGTTTCTTTTTTTTTTTTTTTTTTCTTTTTTGTCAAAATAGTTTCATATTTCTTACTATAGGACATTGGCTTTATACCTGATTTTGTTGTAGTTTAGTGTAATGCTTGTAATTTTTTTTAATAATTGATTAATTAAGAAATTATTGTATTACAGTAAATTTGCAATTGTGTGATTATATATATATATATATATATATATATATATATATATATATATTTTAATTAAATATTTTTTTTTTATTTTTTTGAAAATCTTATTACAACGGGCATTGATCGTGGTCAATTAGTGATCCACAATGGTCATAGCGCGTGATGCTAGCTTCCAATTTACCACGGGATAGATCCATGATTATTATTTAATTGATAACGCGCTTTGACCGTGGTAGAAGTTCAAACTTTTCATCACGTCCAGATTACTAACGGACACAATGTCCGTGGTAAATTGCAATCAACCACGGGCATTTACCATGATAAATGTGGGTTTTTCTTCTAGTGGGGCTTTTTTTCTAGCCTTTTAGGGTTACTGTCGCAACTTAATGAATATTAGGTATTTCTAGATCACGACTTAAACGTTCTCACTAAAAAGACCTGGCATGTTAACCATGTGGACACACCTCAAACTCGGCATATATACTATTTGGTCTATTAGTATTCATCTTCATTTGTAAGTGAAATGTTTTAGGTTCAATTCTCTTCAAAAGAGAATCACATTATTCCTAGCCTATTGTGAGATTCAGCCCACTCCCCTACTTCTTAGTGTAAATAATATTGTTTGTTAAAAAAAATAAAACAATCGATAAATTTTAAAGTTTTCTCATTTTTTAAAATTATTTTGTTCTTTAAAATTAATGTTGATTAATTTTCTCTTTGTCGCATTGCATCAATAAGAATGAAATTTCTAAAATTAAGGTGCTAGATTTAGTAACTGGAACAAATGTCTCATATAGCCAATTCCAAAGGTCTAAGTATACACATTTGCAATCAGTCGAGCTTTTTAACGATCAATGGTTCTTTAAGCTTTGTGCTTTACAATATACACCCATTTGCACACAACCGGCTTCTTCCTATGTTGCTGTGAAACTATTCTCATGTACCATTCTTTCGGAGTACCTCCATCTTCACCTCCATTGCGCCTATCCACTTTGGATCCATCAGTACTTCCACTTTTGTTGGAATTTTAAGTCTAGCCATTTGATTCACCATACCTACCTTGATACTTTGGTGACAGTGGCTGATTGGATACATAGTTTGCGATAGCATACTTGACCTTTCCTACGGGATTGGAGCATGACAATATTATAAAGAATTGAAAGCAGCCTTACCATTTTTCATTTCACACAAACATTTTAAATACAAACGGACCTTGAAGTAGCCAGAACAGTCTGGCCTATCAACTATGTATGAATTTTATCAAAATGCTCTTATATTGTGACATTTAGTAATAAAACTCAAATATAGAAGATGGTGTTTATAGCAAAACTCGAAAGAGAGATTACACACTGTATAGAGTAAAATATGCTATTTATAGCAAGTCTTCATACACACACACACACACAAGCGATCCAATTGAATAGTTATGTATATACTGAGAATAAATTTCATATTGATGAGAGTAAGGATCATGTGTATGTGCTTTATAAGTATGTTGACTATTTTTTTAAATTGTTAATTGGTTTTATGGTGAAACCTCAACTTTCTTCATGGTATCAGAGCAAGTTGCCCGCTTGTGAACCCTAATGGCCACACGCGTCCACATCACCCCATTTATGTTGTTCAAGTGTTTGGTTTACAAATTTGCCCCACGTGAGGGGGCGTGTTGAAAATGAATCTCATGCACCGTCCATTTTATTTTTGAATAAACGACATTATCTACACTAAGGGTGAGGGAGTGAGCTTAGCCTCACAATTAATGGGCTAGCAATAAGGTAGTTCAAATTCGCATTTGACGAGAATTGAAACTAAGACATCTCACTTACAAGTGAAGGGGAATACTACTAGACCTCTTATTTGTTTGATACATATGAATGGTTAAACTGTCTCTAGATTAAATGATTTTTTGCAAAGATGATCTTTAATAAATAGTGACAAAGAGAATGAGCACTTCCAATTATGATGCTTGTATAGTGGGAAGATGTGTTAATCATAAGTAAGGGGACAAGTACATTCCCTATTAGGGGGCCACAAATTACTATTATCCTTTTCCTTTTTGAAATATTTTAGAATGGCTAATGCCAAAACTTACCATATTTTGTATACTAGGTTCATTTGCACAATCTTTAGGTAGCACCCGTCAATACAAGTAAGTGCCACCTTTATTAAAAATGTGGTGCAAATATTATATACAAAATCTGATAAGAGTAGCATTTTTGTTTTATAATTGTTTCTAATTCCTTCATATGCACAAACAAGTTCATTCAACGCATTACATGCATGCATACAACGGTACGGTTATAATGTAAAACTTAGTAATAAAACTCAAATATTGAGGAGATCATCACTGGATTCATAATAAAATATTTAGATTAAAAGTAAAACCAAGATAAGTAGATTGCACCCGGTCTAGAATAAAATCTGGTGTTCATAGCAAGTCTTACCTCGTATGTATACAAGCCATCGAATTGATCATAGCAATATATGTAGGCAATATATATTTTCCTCAAAATCCAATAAATCGGATTGAGGTTATGATATAGTATTATTACTGTAACTGCATGAGATACATTGAACAATGTCGATGCTAAAAAATGGAAGCTAGAGTTTTGGTCCCATAAATACAAACCTAGCTCAACTCCAATTCTATTCAGACTATTCTCACCTCCGATAACCAACCCACCTGAGCCTTTCATCACGTACAAGAAAATGGCATCTGCATCATGCCCGCGTGTTCCAATATTGCTGGTTATTCTCTTCTTCCTCATGATCAACATCACTCCATCTTTTACTCAAGACACCCAGCAGTTGATTGAGCGTATCTGCAGATCAACGGAGCAGTACGGATTTTGCACCCAAACCTTCAAAGAAAACCTGAAATCCCCAGATGCTGATATCGTCGCCCTCACCCAAATAACCATAGAGCGGTCCGTAGACAATGCTACTCAAACACACAACTTCATCAGGCAAACGATTGATAGCACAAACGACCCAGCAGTCAAAAGCGCTTTGGAAACATGCGAGTATAGTTACGGTTTAGTGATGGAGGCATTTGACTCGGCTGCCGTGGCGTTTTTCCAGAAGGATTACGACACCGTAGAGAAGTCTGAGAGTGGGACGCCGAGAGCAGAAGCCAGCTGTGAAGACTCGCTGAGCAAGACGTCGCCAAATACTGTGAACCCACTGACTGACAGAAATAATCAGATGAGGATTCTGATTGCCATGTCTTTGAATGCTGTGCATGAACTAAAGTCTACCCAGCACAACTAGGGTTTTCTAGAATTTAGTTTTTCTTGTTTTCGCATTTGTTTTTTTTTTTTTTTTTTTCAGAAACATTTGTTTTAATTTATAAAATGTTTGGCCACAGACTGACAGTTGTTGTCTATTTGGGCTTTATTTCATGGTCAATAAATGAAGAGACTTTACAATGTTTTTCCTTAAGCTACTCTCAATGATTGTTAAAGAAATTAAAACTATATGTATATATCTAATTAAGCATGTGCATGTGTAAGCAGATCTAGCTAGCTAGCTGCATGCTAACAGAACACACATATTCTTTTTTGTATTATTCGATCGGGTAATGCTAGTTAATAATGAGATTATCTATTTAAACTTTATTTTGAAAATCATGCATATGACGTGATTGTTGATAATTTGACAATTATTTATTTGTTGATTAACGTGCTTATACTCTATTGGTAACGCATCACATAATCTTTAAATGTGGTCTAAAAATTTAGTCTACCAAACATTATTTTGTTCGATCACAATAATTTTTTCCCAGTTTTCTTTATATATTGGAAAAACAAATCTGGTACTCAATTGGAATATATAGAAACACTGGATTCACTAATAATAATAATAATTATTATATATATATATATATATATATATATATATATATAAGTTATAGAAGTGCCACTTAGTACTACGGTCTAGTGATATTCATCTTCACTTATAAGTGAGATGTCTTAGGTTTGATTGTTGCCAAAAGCGAATTTAAACTATATTATTATTAGCTCATTGTGAGGCTAAGCCCACCCTCTTCCCCTTAGTATAGATAATATCGATTTTTCAAAATATATATATATATATATATATATATATATATATATATATATATATATATATATAAAAGTTATAGAAGTTACTTTATGCTTGTTGTGGTCTATTTTATCTGACAGAGGGACTAGGGCCGGCGGCAGAGAGAGAGAGAGGAGAGAGATGTGTGTTTGTAGAATTGTAGGGGAATGTGTGTGTTGTTATCCCTCCTACATTGTGCCTTTATTTATAGTAGTAAAGGGAGAGAAGATATTCCTTCTCCTCCAAGTAATACAAGTTGTAATAGGAAAGGATAACTAGAATCAAATCTTATCTAGGATTTACACAATCATACTTAAACTAGGAATGTTTACAACACTCCCCCTTGAGTGTGTAAATACTCAAGGTAGATTCAGCATCATGCAGAAGTTGAGGAAGTCGACTCGTTGGCACTGATTCCAAGGAACAACGCTTATTCTCAATAAGGTAGGAACTTGCATAAGTAGTAAGTCTCACTAAAAAACCCTAAGGCTATGGCAAAAACCCAAGTAGGGACAAAATCCATAGTCTAAGGAAAAATGCGTGAGAAATGCAAAGTCAAAAGAAACGTCTACAGGACGTCATCAGGGATATGACCAGCCCAAGGTGGGTGCCTCGTTAAAACCTAGTTAGGTAGCAAAAACCCAGTGGGAAAAATGCTCCTAATCGTAGGGAAAAAGAGTACATTAAGATCAAGCAAGTATCTAGAAGATACTCCCCCTGAGTTTGACATAATTCCACAGAGAAATAGCAAAGTTACAACTCAGAAAGTTTACGCATACCAATTCCATGAACAAGCTTCTGAAACGTCGCCTTCGGTAGTGATTTGGTGAAGAGGTCGGCCAGATTGTCTTGTGATCGGATTTGCGTGACTTCAATCTTCTGATGCTCTTGTTGTTGATGTGTAAAGAAGAACTTCGGCGCAATATGATTGGTGTTGTCTCCTTTGATGTAACCCTTCTTGAGCTGTTCGATGCAAGCTGCGTTGTCTTCAAAAATCGTCGTCGGGGCATTAACGGCGGGATGAAGATCACAGGAGCTTCGAATATGGCCCACTACTGCTCTCAACCAAAAGCATTCCCGAGTTGCTTCATGTAAGGCGAGAATTTCAGCATGGTTAGACGAAGTGGCAACTAAGGTCTGTTTAGTTGACCTCCAAGATATTGCGGTGCCTCCAACGGTAAAGACATAACCCGTTTGAGAACGCGCCTTGTGCGGATCAGATAAGTATCCAGCGTCGGCATAACCAACAAGGCGAGAATCAACCCGATGAGCATAGGGTGCGGCATCACTCGAGGATTCGTAGGGATAGAATAAGCCCAAATCCGTAGTACCCTTAAGGGAACGGAAGATGTCTTTCACGCCAGTCCAATGTCTGCGTGTTGGTGCATTGCTGTATCTTCCCAAAAGATTAACAGCGAAGGAGATGTCGGGTCTAGTGCATTGAGCTAAGTACAATAAAGCGCCTATCGCACTTAGATAAGGAACTTCAGGCTCCAAAATCTCTTCATCATCCTCCTTCGGACGGAAGGGATCTCGCTTTGCATCTAGCGTACGAACGACCATAGGAGTACTCGAAGGCTTGGCTTTATCCTCATTAAAACGGCGCAACACCTTCTCGGTGTAGTTCGATTGATGTACTAGGATTCCATCCGAACAATGCTCTATCTCGAGGCCGAGACAGTATCGAGTCTTACCTAGATCTTTCATCTCAAATTCTGACTTCAAGTGCGAAGCAGTTCTCGCGAGCTCTTCAGGAGTTCCGATGAGATTCATGTCATCGACATATACTGCAACAATCGCAAATCCGGAATGTGACTTCTTAATGAACACACAAGGGCATAGTTCGTTATTCACATATCCCTGACTAGTCAAATACTCACTTAAACGGTTATACCACATTCTTCCGGATTGTTTCAAACCGTATAGTGAACGCCTCAGCCGAATTGAGAGCGTGTTCCGGGGTTTGGAAATATTTGAACCAGTCAATATAAGTCCTTCGGGAACTTTCATATAAATTTCCGTATCTAGATCCCCATAGAGATACGCGGTTACTACGTCCATCAGCTGCATATCCAGTTTTTCGGAAACTACCAAACTGATAAGGTATCGAAAAGTAATCACATCCATAACGGGTGAGTAAGTTTCGTCATAGTCAATCCCGGGGCGTTGTGAGAAACCTTGTGCTACAAGACGAGCTTTGTAACGCACAATTTCGTTCTTCTCATTACGCTTCCGAACGAAAACCCACTTGTAGCCAACGGGCTTCACATGTGGAGGAGTAGGAACTACAGGTCCAAACACCTTACGTTTCGCAAGTGAATCAAGTTCGACTTGGATTGCTTGTTTCCAGTTTGACCAATCAGCTCTACGTCGACATTCATCAACGGAACGCGGTTCAATGTCATCGCTCAACATGATCTCAGTAGCTACTGCAAATGCTAATGCATCGTCGACAATCATCTCATTTCTACGCCACACATCATCTAAGCTAGCATAATAGACCGAAATCTCACGATTCTCGGGAGGAGGATTCGTCTCTTCAAGGACGCTTCCATAATCTAGAATTTCCTCATGAGTTGGGTAAAATGAGTAAGCGATAGTCGGATTCACGGTAGGCTCTTCAGGACCTTGTGCCGTGGTTTTCCTCTTTCGGGGGTGTGAATCCTTTGAACCAAGGGGTCTGCCACGCTTTTGTGTAGGGGTAGATGATTGGCTAGTCGCTAATGTACGTGGATCACCAGAATTGGCGTCCCGGGCTTCCAGGAGGGTAGTCCGTCGTACATTTGGTACATCCATCTTTGCAGGCGTATTCGCAGCTGGAATATGTGATCTTGTCACGCGCGCTAGATCGGTGAAAGCATCTGGCATGCTCTGAGCTATGCTCTGGAGATCTAATATGCGCTGCACTTCAGCTTCAGACTGAGCGGTGCGGGGATCTAAATGAGACAAAGTGGGAGTCATCCACGATAATTCGCGTCGTTCATTAGGAACGTTGACGTTCTTATCTCCCCCTAACGACGGGAAGACTGTCTCATAGAAGTGACAATCTGCGAAACGAGCGGTAAACAGATCGCCTGTCAAAGGTTCTAAGTAACGAATAATCGAAGGAGAATCATATCCGACATAGATTCCCATCCTTCGCTGAGGCCCCATTTTTGTACGTAAGGGCGGCGAGATCGGCACATAGACCGCACAACCAAAAACGCGCAGATGCGATATGTCGGGTTCGCATCCGGTGACCAACTGAAGGGCACTAAATGGTTGTGTCGCAACAGGCCTCAGGCGGACCAACTCTGCTGCGTGCAATATTGCATGGCCCTAAGCAGCGATCGGGAGCTTGGTACGTATGACCAACGATTGAGCAATCATTTGTAAACGCTTAATGAAAGCCTCTGCCAGGCCATTCTGGGTGTGAACATGGGGTACAGGATGTTCAACTTCAACCCCAACCGACATGCAATAGTCATCAAAAGTTTTAGATGTGAATTCTCCAGCATTATCCAATCGAATAGATTTGATCGGATAATCAGGGTGGTGAGCCCTGAGCTTGATAACCTGAGCCAACAGTTTGGAGAATGCAGCGTTCCTTGTGGACAACAAGCACACGTGTGACCAACGTGTAGAAGCGTCAACCAAAACCATAAAATATCTAAATGGTCCGCAGGGAGGTTGAATCGGTCCACAAATGTCCCCCTGAATCCGTTGTAGAAAAATGGGAGGATTCGAACGAATCTTGTCATAAGAAGGCTTAGTAATAAGCTTTCCCATAGAACATGTTTAGCATGCAATTTCATGGATCGAACCTAAGCTTCGGGTTAGTGGATGCCCGTGTGAAGTTTTGAGGATACGGCGCATCGCTATTCGTCCAGGATGTCCCAAACGATCATGCCAAAGTGTAATTTCGTGCGCGGTCCCTGTGGTAGGGCCGGCCACATAGTGGCATTCTATGGGGCGTATGGTCGTAGTATATAGACCACTCGGGTTACGCTCCATCTTCTCTAGAATACGCTTCTGGCCATATTCGTAGGAAGTTACGGACAGAAATTCAACTCCGTTTTCTACGTGGGTTTCAGCGTGGTAATTGTTATCTCTAATGTCCTTGAAACTTAGTAACGTTCTTCCGGAACGTGGAGAATAGAGTGTCTCAGCAATGGTCAAGATTGTACCATTGGACAACATTATACGTG